TTTTTGAGATGGAGTTTTACTCTTGTTGCATGAGCTGGAGTGCAGTGGTGCAACCTCGACTCACAGCAACCTCCACCTCCCAGGTTCAAGCGATTCTCCTGCCTTAGCCTCCCACATAGCTGGGATTATAGGAGTGCACCACCACACCCAGCTAATTTTTTTTTGTATTTTTAGTAGAGCTGGGGGGGTCCCACCGTGTTGGCCAGGCTGGTCTCGAACTCCCGACCTTAGGCAATCTGCCCACATCCACCTCCCAAACTGCTGGGATTACAGGCGTGAGCCACCACACCTGGACTTAATCTCATTTTTAATAAGTAGAATGAGAAACAGGGCAATGGAAACACAGAACTATAATCCTTAATTTGCTGGTTTTAATAGTCTGCTTCGGAGTTTGAAGAAATGATAACAATAGTTTGACCTAGAAAGAAAACCAACATCCCTTTATTTTGTCTTTAAAAGTTAATAAACTAGAATCTTGGACCAACATTGAGATATAATGAGAAAACACCTTACCAGATTCATCCCAAACCCCACAACATTTAAAACCGAAATGCTTCCTGGGCTAATCTCAAACCATATAATTTCTAAAACACAAAATATTTGAAAACATTAGGTCTGACTCTCATCCAGGCTTGAGTGAAGTAGCACAAACATGGCTCACTACAGCCTCAACTTCCTCGGTTTCCATGATCCTTCCACCTCGGCCTCCCAAGTAGCTGGGACTACAGGTGTGTGTCACTGCAACTGGCTAATTTAAAAATTTTTTTGTATAGGTAAGGTCTCAACATGTTGCCTAGGCTGTTCCTGAACTCCTGGGCTCAAGCAATTCTCCCCGCTCAGCCTTCCAAAGTGCTAGGATTACAGGCATGAACCACCAAACCTGGCCTGAAAACACTGAATTTCACAAATTTGTAAATATCCATTTGTTTCAAAAAAGATTTAAGGAGGCTTAAATATATACAATATAATTATTTATATCTCTCACTAGAAAGTAATGTATCTAAGGTCAGGGATTTTTGTCTATTTTGATCAATACTGTATCTCTAAAAGCAAGAATACTGCATATAGTATGCACTACCAAATATTTATTGAAGTAGAGAATTTTTTTAAGAGAGAAAATTAGGCAAAAAGAAAAAGAACTAGAAATAGCAAGATAAAAATCAGGAGTGAGTTTACTACTGAAAAAAATATAAGCTGTTAGGTCCTTTATACTTCCTAAAGATGGGCCATACATTTGGCCAAGTTTGCTGGCCACTATTCCTAAGACAAAAACATGATCTGTTACACAAATAAAAACCAATTTCTTGGGAAAAGTACAATTTTTAGTGCTTAAATTTTGTTATGTACAACAGTATCATTAGTTTATCAAGTGCAGTCTACCTTTAATATCTGATTTTTAAAGAAAACATACACAATATAGCATCAGAAACTACAGTGGGTAAGGTCCTAGGATACCTTCATATTGGTTTCAACTCTTCCTCTAAATTTGTGACTTTGGCTGGGCCCAGTGGCTCAGGCCTGTAATCCCAGCACTTTAGGGGGCCAAGGTAGGAGGATCTCTTGAGCCCAGAAGTTTGAGACCCACCTGGGCAACACAGCAAATCCCTATCTCTACAAAAAATAAAAAAATTAGCCAGGTGTGGTGACGCGTACCAATAATCCCAACCACTCGGAAGGCTGAGGTAGGACTATTTTTTGAGCCCAGGAGGTGGAGGCTGTAGTGAGTGAGATCTTGCCACTGTACTCCAGCCTGGGCAACAAAGCAAGATTCTGTCTCTTAAAAAAAAAAAAAAAAATGTAATCCCAGCACTGTGGGAGGCCGAGGCAGGTGGATCACGAGGTGAAGAGATCGAGACCATCCTGGTCAACATGGTGAAACCCCGTCTCTACTAAAGAATACAAAATTAGCTG